CAAACAGTGTTAAAGCCCTCTCATTCCTGTGACTCCATGCCACCCAACCCCATCCACCTTCTAGAAGGCCTGGCACTGTGGCAGAAAAGAACTTTACAGCCCCAGCCTTAAAACGGCACCTGGCACAAGGTGGGTGCTCGGGAAATGTCTGTTGGTAGGATGGATGGACAGAAAGATGGAAGGACAGACCCTCCTTTAAATCTCGGATCCTTTGGCAAACAGGCTACGTAGGTAGACTGGTGGTTGGTGCTGTTTAGAAAATGAAATCCCAGGGGCGCCTGGGTGGCTCAGTCGGTTAAGTGTCCGACTTCAGCTCAGGTCATGATCTCAGGGTCCGTGAGTTCAAGCCCCGCGTCGGGCTCTGTGCTGACAGCTCAGAGCCTGGAGCCTGTTTCAGATTCTGTGTCTCCCTCTCTCTGACCCTCCCCTGTTCATGCTCTGTCTCTCTCTGTCTCAAAAATAAATAAACGTTAAAAAAAATTAAAAAAAAAGAAAAGAAAATGAAATCCCAACACCTGAAACTAATGTAACATTGTGTATCAACTTCACAGCATTGACGCCATATAAATAAAAGAAGGGGGGAGGGGAAGGGAGGGAAGGGAAGGGGGGAGGCAAGGGAAGGGAAGGGAATCCCAGAAAAGTCCACCTGGTTGCATTAAGTGTTTACATCAGCAGAAAGCATCTAGGGTATCCTGGGGAGAAAGCAGAACCAGGAATCAAAAACCCCACTCCAGGGGCACCTGAGTGGCTCAGTCGGTTGGGTGTCTGACTCTTGATTTCAGTTCAGCTCATAATCTCATGGTGCGTGGGTTCAAGCCCCAAGTCAGGCTCTGTGCTGACAGCTCAGAGCCTGCTTGGGATTCTCTCTCCCTCTCTCTCTGCCCTTCCCCTGCTCACAGGCTCTCTCTCAAAATACATAAATAAACTTTAAAAAATAAAATAAAACCACACTCCTGACCCATCCCCTCTCCCCCACAGGCACTGCTGTGTGACCATGAACAAGTCACCTAGCCTTTCTGATCCCCAGATTGTTCCTCTGCACAATGTGTTCCTCCCGTCCACCCAGGCTGGTCTCACACTTGTCTGGAAGTGCCCAGACTTCCACACAATTCACTGTGGGTTCCGAATAGCCCAATGTCAGGGGAAGGGCTTTGAAACCCACAGGTGCCATGCAAGGGAATGCTGTCTGTCATTACTGACAGGAGTGGAGGGTGCACTGTGGTGCTGACTACTGAGTTAAAATTCCAGCTCCCCCCTCTGAATAGCTCTGTGGCCTTAGGCCTCAGTTCCTCATCTGTAACACGGGGATAATAACAGCATCCCTCTTGCTGTGTTGTCATGAAGAATAAATGAGTTTATTTTTGCAAAGCTTTCAGAACAATATTTGGCAAATGGAAAGTCCCATACGAGGGTTAACTTTGAACTACTGCTCTGATTGCTATTATGGGTGAAGCCAGCCTGGGATTCCAATTGCCCCATTCACCCCTTCCTTCTCCCCCCGCACAGACCCCGCACCGGACCTCCAATTCATTCCACGAGGCCCTTTGGAGCACCTGCCAGGGGGCTGGTCTGTGTGAGGAGAAGCAGCGCACACCCATCTTTCGCCAGCCCAGGACTCCTGGGTGCCAGGCTGTGTGTGCACAAGAGCTCACCATCTGGCAGACCTCGGTGGCCACTCCACTTGGCCACCACCCTCGGGAAATTCCTTTTGACCCTTATTTGTCAGAAGTTGAGAAAGCGGCTTCAGCAACTTCCAAGGATCAGGAGTGTCCGTGGCAAACAAGCCCTCTCTCCCCTCTTCATCCTGCCCCCACCGAGAGACCCCACAGGAGGGAGGTGACCCTAGGACCCTGCTGCCCAAGGCCTTGGGCAACATCTGTTGAGTAAGATGAAAACACGGGTTGAAGATTAAGCCACTTTGCCCTGGCTGGCCTGGCACAGGCTGGAAAATGTGTCTGGCAGGCAGAGGCTGGGCAGAAATCCTGTGCCCAGGATGCGGGCCCCCGATCCCAGGGGGGTAAGATCTAAGCAGGATGGGTGAGAAGGCCAGAGGGAGCGCTGGGGCCCAACTGAGACATGGAGAAAACACCACGGGCAGACACACACACGGTGTGGGGCACGAGGGAAGGGGGCAGGAAGACCAGATACCAGCTCTGCCGAGGCTGAAGGAGAGGCAGCAAATGGAAAAGAAAGGAAAAAATACATCCCACCCTTTCCTCCCTCTTGTGAACCTGCTCAAAGCACTTGCCTTGCCTGCCTTGAGGAAAAGGTGCTGAGTGCCCTCGGGGGAAGCCAAACTTTCTCCCGGTTTTCCCCTGGGCCATTTTCCCACTCTCTGGGGACAGCAGGAGAGATTCCAGCTGGAGCTCAGCCCCCCTAATACCCACCCATCAGCAAGCCAGGGAATAGGAGCGACAGCAGCCCTGCTTACTGAGCACCTAATCTGCACCAGGCCCCCGGCTGCAAGCCTTCCTTCTAGCCACCCAGTGAGCATGTACTGGGCACCTACTATGTGCCAGACAGTGGGGACACAGCAATGGACACAACAGTAAAAATCCCTTGTTGACACAGAGCTTACATGCTGGTATGAGGGGGACCTTGTAAGACACACAGTGTACCAGACGGCGATACGTGGAGGGACATGGAAAGCAGGGAGGGGAGACAGGGTTGCGGGGGGAAGAGAAATCTCACACTTGTGGGAAGATCCGAGGGAGGGAAAGAGCCTTGCAGGCTCTACAGCCCTGAAGCAGCATCGTGCCTGCTATGTTCAAGGGGCAGAGAGAAGACAAGGTACCTGAAGCAGAGTCGGTGAAAGAGAGAGCTTCTAGAAGGAGGCAAGGTCAGAAAGGAAACCCGTCACGTAGACCACGCACAGGCCAATGCAAGAAACTGGACTTTTACGCAAATCAAGTGGGCAGCTGCTGGAGGGCCCTGAATCCAGATGAATTAAATACATTCATTTGCTCCTTTTATTCTCTTAACAATCTCATGCGGTGGCTGCTATTACCAAATCCCAATCTGCAGAGGGGAAGCTGAGGTCCAGAGAAGTTAAGCAGTGTGTTCAAGATCGCATACCACAGACTGGGGAGCCAGGATCCAAAGGGGGTAGTCTAACCCCTCACTCTTCACCAGTGCTGGGGCAGGGGGCGGGGATGTTCTGACTCAGGTGGGGGCCCTCTGTGGGCACAAGCTGGTGTCACAACGGCTTCGCCACCAGGTGGCTGACCCAGCCTCCAGGAAGGGCAGAGTCCCCTGCACAGGTGGGGCACATCACCCCGACGGAAGACAGGTAGGAGTTCCTTCTGGTATCTGACATCCTTCCAGCTGGAGTGCCAACCTATTCCCTTTTGTCCCAACCCCTGACCCTGACATAAACAAAGCTCACAAGACTCCAAATGGCCAGGAATCTGGCTTCTGCCCCAAGATCCCTAAAGCTCGGACCCCCCAGCTGTCCAAGACCAGCCAAGGACATTCTGTTCTCAGAGGCAAGGTGGTGGCAGTTGGGTTGAAATGATGAGACTTATGTTCCTCCTCCCTGCTCTCGGCCCGCCACGGTGACCCTCAGCAATCCCAGAGAGACTTCTCGCTGGTGGCTGCAGACCAGGCCCGCACTCTGGCCTCCTCACCACCACCTCCCCGCGGCACCCCACCCCCACTGTTGTCAGATGACGTGCGACTGGGCCCTGCGCGAATAACACTCCACATCTGGAGCGGCACAGCTGGGCAGAGCTGAGGCCCAGGAGGGCTTGAGCCAGGGGAGGCCAGAGGGGAAGGGGCGGCCGCTGCACAGAAGGGAAACAACTTGTGAGGGCCTGGGCCTAGGGTGCAGAGGGCAGGGGCACCGCCGAGGGTCCGAGGTGTCTGAGGCACAGGCACTTCCACAAACTTGATTTCGTTCCATCAATGACCCTCAGTGGAGGGGACACTTCTCAGCACTGAGAAGGCCTGGGGAGCATCTAGAGCAACCCCTCTCTTTGACAGAAAGGGAAACTGGGGTCCAGAAAGCGGGGGGGGACTGGTCCACGGTCACTCGGCCAACGGGTGTTGGAGGGAAAGAAGAGACCAGGTGGCCTGACAGAGATTGCAGTATGCAGGCTGAGCGAGCATGTAGATATCTGGAACAGCCTGGGCCTCAGGGACACCCCTGCTCCCTCCCCCGGCCCCCACCCACACCAGGGTCACCACAGGCTCCTCTGCACCAGCAAATCTGACTGTGCCCACCGGGGCCCTCCGTGACACACCCCGCATGCACACGCATGCCCCGTGTGGGGCAGACCCCTCCCCCTCCAGCCTCCAGGGCCCTGCCTGCCTCCAGCACTGGGCTGGGGAGCAGGAGGCCTTCACAGGGTGCGAAGGCACTGAGAGGGTAGGGAAGAAAAGTTCCCAGTGTTCCAAATCAGCCCAGCTGGGATCAGTCTGGAATAGGCCCCTCTCCCCAGCCCACAACTCATGAGTCCTGCCCGTCCATACTTCTCTGGAAGCCTGATAGGGGAGGGAAGGGCGGGAGACAGGGAGACAGGGCAGAAAAGCAGAGTCAGTTCCAGCTTGGAGGTGGAACAGGCCACCTGAGTGTGAGCACCTGCCCAAGCAGGTGAACTCTGTGGGTCATGCCTCCCGTCCTCCTTCCTCCAGCCGAAGGGTACCTGACCCGGGACCAGGCAGGTAGAAGGAGATGCCACCCCCTGGTCCTGGAAGCCCCAGAACAATAGGCACCTGGCCAGGCCTCAGAGGCATGCAAGATGCCCTTTTATGGGTTTTTCCAAGGACTTAAGTCTCAAATTGAAATAGGAGGCCCTGCATCTCATCAGAAGGGACCTCATGACTCATTTCCTCCCAGTCCGGCTTCAGCCTTGGGAAGGGTCCCCCTCCTCCTCCTCCTCCCCGAATTGCCCAGCACCCTCGGGGGCTTGCAGCATGCTTAGGTCTAAAGTAAGCTGTAACCAAGGAGCTGGGGAAAGAGGAGGAGAGACCAGCAGGGTAGGGAAGGGACTGTCACTCACCACCAGTTCATGGTTGGATGGAGGAATGCAGGGGGCAGCCACCTGTGGGAGGAACAGAGAAAGGGCAAGGTTAGCATCTTTCATCCCCATAGAAAACCAGGGCCTCCTGAGATCATTCCAATGGTCCCACCTCCACACTAGACACCCCTTCCCTCAACTCAACACAATGACAATCTCCAGCTTGAGAGGCCACTGGAAGCCTGCGCAATAACATGGGAAAACGTTCAGGCAATAATGCTTGGTAGAGGGGGTGCCGCAGGAGGCAAAAACGAAATGTATATCACAATTTTTCAGTTCTGTAGAAAAATACGCAGAAGACTGGAGGTCAGTGCACCAGAATTTTTCACAACAATGGGTTGAGGTAATAAGAATAAGGATTTTTTTTCTTTGCTCTATGTTCTACAGTAGGCTAAGATTTGTTTTAAATTTTTTTAAAAACACGTTTAAGACCTCTAAGAAAGGAGGTTCTCCCCAGCACCAGGGCATCTCACCAAAAACGGCAGTGTCTGGGGTCCCCTCAGCATGTGGGAAGCAGGCTGGCGAAGGGCCCCTGCCAGCTCTTCCCAAGGAAGCCTTGAGGGGTGAAAGCACCCTGTATGGGTGAGCTATTGTTTGTTTGGTTTTTTTTAAGACGAAATTTATTGTCAAATTGGTTTCCATACAACACCCAGTGCTCATCCCAACAGGTGCCCTCCTCAATGCCCCTCACCCACCCTCCCCTCCCTCCCCGCCCATCAACTCTCAGTTTGTTCTCAGTTTTTAAGAGTCTCTTATGTTTTGGCTCCCACATCATCCTCATCTTCCTCTCCGATGGAGGCGGCGGGTGGCAACTTGGGCCTCCAGACAGAGGGACTGGGGAGGGAGGGCTGCATTTCTCCCTTCCCTGAGATAACAACCCCCCCCTCCCCAGCCAGGGCAGCCAAAACCACTACGCTGACAATTAGCAGGGCCCTTTATCAGAGGCGCAGTGTGTTCTTTTTTTTCTAGCCGGGACACGTTTTTCTTGGAGCTCATACCTCAATCTTGGCTCCAGTTCCCAACCCAAGGGGCCCACAGAGGGGACTAGGGGGAGGCTCTCCCTCGGGCATGAGGGTGTCTGGGCACAAGCCCTGGATCACCAAAGAGGGGGCTGCTGCCTCCTCAAACAGTGGGCAACCCCTGCCCCAGCCACCACCCCAGTGAAGCAGTAACGGTGAAGCCCAGGCCCTGCTGGACCTGGCTGTTGACGAGAAGCCACCCTCAGCCAGGCCCTCCCTCCACCTGACCCAGGCTGTCCTCCAAGCAGCCCAAGGGATCCCCAGGCTTGACACACCAGCCCAGAAGGGGACAACACATGACTGTGTGCCCTGAGCTCTGCAAGGGGTGGAGAAACTAGGGGTTTAGCATCCCCGGGTTCTTGACCCAGTCCTGTTACAGGCTTGCTGCCCAGCTCATTCTCCAGCAAAGAAACCTGAGTTGAATCTCAGTATCTATGGCCCGGTACTCAGCATTACTCCGAGATTGTGGCGAGACTCATGTATGAGGCCAAAAAAGGGAACAACAGCTAACACCTGCTGAATGTGGACTATAGAAATGACAGGCATTATTATTATCAGTGCTTGACCCACATTAACTCATTTAATCCTTCCAGAAACCCAAAAGGGTAGGTGCTATTATAGCTTCAGTTGAGGCACAGGGGTCACAGAGAGGTTAAACAACTTGCCCAAGGTCACACAGCTGAGTAGTGGGCAAGATCTGAACCCAGGCATTCTGATTCCCGAAATGAAATGTGAAGGAGGACTCATCCCCTATGTTCAAAAGAATGAGGAAACATGGGGGGAATGTTCTCACAAGTTCAGGGTTCTTGACACATACCAGCATGGAGCTATGAGTGACTGTTTTAGAAGTTTCAGGGAGGGGAGTCCAGGGCCTGGAGTGGGGTGGAGGATACCAAGAGAACGGAGTGGGAAGGAAGGTGAAGGCCCCAGCGGAGACTGTGGCCTGCGGGGCTCCCTACCAGCCCCACCCACCAGACAAGGTCTCAGACAAGGGACACATGGGTGTCTCCATCAGGCGCCTTCAGGGCAGGAGTCCTGAATCTAGCAGTGGCCTCCTCCCTGTCTCCTCCCGTCCCCAACCCCATTCAGGGGCTGCAGGCTTCAACCTCCTGGGGCCAGGCCCCAAGTGTCTCCTCCCACACCGCTCTACCATTTATGGGTCCCTCAGGGCCTGGGTGGGAGCGGGTGTAATCCACAGGGCAGCGCCCTTCTCTGCCCCTTCCTTCCCAGCTGGGGCGGGGCTGGGAACCTGATGGAGGACCATGCTGCAGGAGGAGGGATGCTGCGGGCTCCGGCCACAGCATCCCAGACCCAGGCAAGTCCCTTCCATAGCCAGTGTCTCCCATGCCATTTCACCAGGGGATCTCTAGTCTGCCATTCAGGGACCGGGGATTGAGGGAGAGGTTATGGGTACATTTAAAGCAGGGGCAGAATGGACAGTATCCTCTGAAACAGGGGGAGGGTCTCTCTCCTAGAAACATCCTCAGGCAGTAGAAATAATGGGGGTCCAGGTGTCCTGACCCCAGGTCCCTTCCCTGCTCCTCCTGAGGCAGAGCCACCCTCTAAGGATTTAGATCTGAGAGGAATCTGTGGACCCCCCAGCCAGAGGGCCTGAGGCCTGGGTGCCCCTCGTGGCCTGCTGCCCCCCAGCAGCCTCCTCCACCCGCCGCCCACAGCTGTGCATTCCAGGCCAGCCGGCCAGCCAGCCCACTAACTTTGTTGTGTGTTTCAATGTTTCTTGTCTCTCTCTCTCTCTCTCCTTTTTTTTTTTTTTTTTTTTTTTT